TTGTTTACAATTGAGTAAAGTGCAATAATAAAGAGATATTAGGAATATTCGAGAACATGAACTAACGCAACAAAGATGAAAAGACATGAAAATGCCAGAAAAATCGAGAAAAGGGGTTTGTTGTCAACAACCACATGGGTGAGAGAGTATGTGGAAATGAGAGAGCGCAGACAGAATATTCGCGAAGGAGCACGAATGTTCTTGGTTTTCAGTATATAACAAGCTGCAGGGGATGGAAGAGTCAAAACAGTCAGATACTTGAAACGCTATACTAAGCTATCAAAGTCTCTATTCAAAGCTATCAAAGCCTACTATTCAAAGCTATCAAAGCCTACTATTCAAAGCTATCACTAAATCATTGTCAACATGTCAACCTGCAAAACTATAGGAATTGACTTGGGCACCACATATTCCTGTGTGGCTGTATATCAGAATGGAAAAGTAAGTCCGATGTTCCTGTGTTCGTCTTCTTATCATCTTGTTTAGGTAGAGATCATTGCCAACGATCAAGGAAACAAGACTACTCCTTCATACGTCGCTTTCACAGACTCCGAACGATTAATAGGAGATGGAGCCAAGGATCAAGCTGCTCGTAATCCACAGTGCACAGTCTTCGATGCCAAACGATTGATCGGACGTCAGTTCAACGATCCTCAGATCCAAGAAGATATTCGTAACTTCCCATTTGCTGTCAAGAACAAAGGAGGAAAGCCGATCGTAGAGGTATGTCCTTGTGTCTATGTAACATTCGTTCAAACTGCTGTTTTCAGGTCGAGTTCAAAGCAGAGAAACGTCAGTTCAACCCCGAAGAAATCTCAGCGATGGTTCTGACCAAGATGAAGGAGACTGCTGAAACTTATTTGGGACATGAAGTTCGAGATGCCGTTATCACAGTTCCCGCCTACTTCAATGACAGTCAACGACAAGCCACCAAAGATGCTGCCACGATTGCTGGATTGAACGCCATCAGAATCATTAACGAACCCACTGCCGCTGCTCTAGCCTACGGATTGGACAAAAACATGCAAGGAGATCGCAACGTTCTTATTTTCGATCTCGGTGGTGGAACCTTTGACGTCTCTATTCTCCAAATCAGCGAGGGCTCACTCTTCGAAGTGCTGTCAACTTCCGGAAACACACACTTGGGTGGCGAAGATTTCGATCAACGTCTACTCAATCACTTCGTTGCCGAATTCAAACGCAAACACAAGAGGGATCTCAGCAATAACCCACGAGCACTCAGACGCCTTCGTACAGCCTGTGAAAGAGCCAAGCGAACATTGTCCAGCTCGGTAGAAAGTGTGGTGGAAGTGGACTCGCTCTTCGAAGGCATTGATTTCCATTCCTCAATCACTCGCGCTCGTTTCGAAGAGTTGTGCAACGACTTATTCCGCTCTACACTGGAACCTGTGGAAAAAGCTCTCCGAGATGCCAAATTGGACAAGTCTCAGATCAACGAACTTGTGCTGGTCGGAGGATCAACTCGCATCCCTCGTGTTCAGAAGCTCCTCCGAGACTTCTTCAACGGCAAAGAACTCAACTGTTCTATCAACCCTGATGAAGCCGTAGCTTATGGAGCAGCCGTTCAAGCCGCCGTTCTCTCAGGCGTACAGGATCGTGCCATCAAGGATGTTCTTCTTGTGGACGTGGCTCCACTCAGCCTCGGAATCGAAACAGCTGGTGGAGTCATGACCATCTTGATCGACCGCAACACTCGAATTCCTACCAAAGCTAGCAAGACTTTCTCAACATTTGCTGATAACCAACCAGGAGTAACAATCCAAGTCTTCGAGGGAGAGCGAGCTATGACGAAGGACAATCACCCTCTTGGATTGTTTGAGCTCAGTGGAATACCACCAGCTCCTCGAGGTGTTCCTCAAATCGAAGTAACTTTCAACGTGGATGCCAATGGAATTCTGAATGTCTGTGCTGAGGACAAATCCACTGGAAAACGAAATCAAATAACCATCAAGAACGAGAAAGGACGATTGAGCCAGGCAGATATTGAGCGAATGGTCAACGAAGCCAAGGAATTCGAAGCTGAGGACAACAAGGCTCGTGACAAGATAGCAGCTCGCAACCAATTGGAATCCTATACCTATCAAGTAAGTTATCACTTATCCTAACCTCTTAATCATACTTACTCTTACAGGTCAGTCAGGCTCTTGAAGAACATGCCAATAAGCTCTCACCGGAAGATCGAAACAAGGCTCGAGCGGCTTGTGATGAGACCATACGCTGGATGGATTCGAATCAATTGGCTGAAAAGGAAGAATTCGAAGATAAATACAAAGAGTTGGAGAAGGTGTGCCAGGCCATCATGAGGAAAATCCACGAGCCTGCTGCCTCACAATCCTGTGGAAATCAGAGCGGAAGCGGCTTTGCTCAAGGAAACTATCCATCAAGTGGACCAACTGTAGAAGAAGTTGACTAATCCACGAACCTTCTGCCACACACTCGGGTCAACGATGATACTCACCTATTGCTAAATACTCACTTTGTTAATAGTTTGTTCATAGTTTGTTAATAGTTTGTACATATTGTTCAATAAATCTTGTTTATCAACTTCTTC